TAATCATAAAAAAATATATAAATCTATAAGACAAAAAAACATATATACACAAATAATAATAATTATGAAATAAAATATTTTGTTTAAAAATATGATTTTTAGGGAAGTTTATATAGTAAAATAAATAAATATTTTCATAGCAAAAATATATAATGAAATAAAATGGTTATATTAGAACAATAAGTAAATACAAAATATTTGTTCATGGTATATATGCATACAAAGGAAGATAGTAAATTCTTTAAAAAAAAAAGAAAGAGATAAGAAACAAATATTAGGATTTATGAGCATGCCACACATCACTATTGCATCGTTAAATGTCATGGCATATAGATACTTTATGAAAACAAGTAGAAGCCCTAATGATGGAATTTTCTGAAGGATCTTGTGAAGGTGAGTTTTCTTTGAAAAATTCTCTAGAAGAAAAGATATCTTCGGGTTCCACCAGTATGATGAGAGGGCTCAGAGAATATCCTTAATGAAAGGCTTCCGTTCATAATAGGTCCACATTCATGAAAGTATTTTTTTTATCTAAAACGCAAATGATTATCTTGATGATGGGATTTATTTGTTAAATTTGCAAAAGCAAGTTTCCTGGATAATTCTCTGTGTGGGAGAAAATTTTCGGATCTCACTAGTATGATGGGCGAATCTAAGAAATATCCTTAATAAAAAGTTTTCATCTGACATTACTTGGATTTATACTATGCATTTCGCAGGCGCATCATGTGCATGTTACACCCGTAAGATCAAATAAAATATTTTAATTTACTAATAGAATAAAAGATAAAATAAATAAATGATAACTAAAAAAACATAATAAATTTAAGAATTAGGGCTCCAATAGGATAACTTATAATTAAATGGTACCGTTCGTAGAATGGGCATCACGAGGGCACTAATCATTCTTCGTGTGTAACTGTACTTCCGAATCCAACTCTAAAAATCGTAGACCAGTTTAATATTTTTTCGATAGATCTAGAATTAATTTAGGACCTCGTCGATTACAACTGAGTCAATAGGTGACCAATCGCACCTTAAAAAAAGATTGGTGGCGACTCCCAAACCTTAAGTTTCTTCACATCTAGTGGTCGGGTTCTTAGACATGCACGTTACGACACAATGATAACGCATTAATAATGCGTTATACATCACATGCATTAATTCAAACAATAAAACCCCCACATAATGACAAGCAAAAGTTCCTCCATAGCCAAACCCAAACTTTTCTCGCCTCCAACGGCTTTCTAGCTCACCAACGTGCTAATAGCTATATTTTCCTCTCGAACAAATCAAAATAATAATTATTTCTCAACTTTTGAAAATTTCCAACATTTCAAACTAGGTCTACTTTCAACTACTCACAGTTGTAACTACCTAGGTTTTGATTCTTAAGTTTAAAATGCCTAAATCTTCACTTTTGATGTTGGGTTGCCCAATCTCAACTCCAAATTCCCAACAAAATCCAAAGGAGTAACATCAAAGTTGGAACAAATGGGTTTCAAGGTTATAAACAATTTAAATTGCAAATCAATCGGTAAAAAGGTTTGATTTTAACTTAATATCGATTTTCTGAGCTCTAATCTACTTTCCTCAAGCTCCAAAATTTGGTTGGGGCATAGGGTTTCGAAGAGGCTAAGAGTAGGGAAGGTTTTCTTTTGTTTTTAAATGGTGCACTACCCTTGGCCCTTTCTATTTTGGCAAATACCTAGGGATGTATCATTATATTTGTGAATATATCGATATATTTTTATGAATTTCTTTCAAATCAATCGATTCATGAGACAATGTATTGATATAAATCAAATAAAATGCTCTCTACCTCAAATGTATTATTGATTGGGAAATCTATCAATACAAATTCTGTAGAATCGTCCTTTGTCACAAATCTATCGATACATTTAGTCAATGTATCAATTAAAATTATGCAGAGTGGTCCCATTGTTTAAATCTATCGACACATTCTAGAATATATTGATAGAATATTCATAAAATGCCTTTTCTTGTTCTTCTTGCCAAGAATGAATTGATAATTTTCTCCAGAAAGAACATTTTCAACATTTTAACTTTCAAAAATCTAAATTTCAAACTCCCAAATCACTTCCTGTATAAGTTACACTTCAAAACAACTATTATAACTCATAATTTCAATTCATAAGTTCAAGCCATAGCCTAATATTCATCAAAACTCCAAAACATACTAGTCCAAATCATCAATCATTTCTTCAAGACTTTGGCTAAGTATCATAATCCACATTTTTAATGACTAGTTATATACACTACATTCATTAAATATTCTCAAACATATTAAAATTAAGTCATTCTCTATAGACCATAACAAAATCATAGGTATACACAATAAATTTCAATTTAGTTCATCAAATAGCTTAGTCTACCCTGCATCTAGCTCATTATCAAAGTTAGGGATGTTACATTAATTAACTAATTTATTTATAGAATAATTAATATTAACTAATTTAATTCTTTTTAAAACTTAACTAATTTATTAAAAATAAATATTTAGTAATTTCACATTTTAATAATTAAATAATTAATATTCAAATATTATGTTTTTTTTTATTTTTTACACCTGAGCATTTGGCTCATTGGTTGGTGCATTATCTTTCTACTAAATAGCAGGGTTCGAATCTCCCTTCCCCTAATTATAAAAAAAAATTATATTATTTTTGTCATGGTATTATTTATTATTTTAAGTGATAATGTTAAAAATTAAAAATTTACATTAAAAGAATGTAAGTTTATTCAACTTTATATTTTCATATGTAAGGGTAATTTTGTAAAATTTAGTAATTTCACATATTTTAATATTATTTTTGTTATGCTATTATTTATTATTTTAAGGAATAAATTGAAAAGTTAAAAATTTATATTAAAAAGAATATAAAGTTATTTAATTTTATATTTTCATACACATATAAGAGTAATTTCATAAATTTATACTATATTTTCAATAAAGTGTTTGTAAATCAAACACTATAATATAATTTTCTAGTAATCACATCATTTATAATCATTACTTTTTCATATTATACTCAACGCTATAAGGTTATCTTCTAGTAATCACATTCCGGGTGATCACATTCCTCTCCAAACATCAAATGCCAATTTAAATTTATCCAATAATTTTATGCCATGTCACGGAGTACAAATAGTTAAAACAAAAAAGATGGGATAATTAACACAATTCGTTATATTGTAAGCAAATTATTGCAAGAGAATAAATCTCCCAAATTATTTTTCCAAATTCACAAATAGCATCTTCCTTTGCTACTAAAAAGGATTTCATAAATTCAAAATGTTTTATTAATCAGAAAAGGATTTTATGAAAAATCTGCAAAAATTATTATTCATAAAGCCTTTTAAAAATGACATTATAAACCATAGGATCTTAAAAAACTCCAATAGTATTATAAAAACAGTATGATTAAGACAATAGACCACTGCATGTTCTTCAATTATTGAGATTGCCAGCTAACATAGTTTTGTTTTTTATATAATTGGAGGAAGAGAGATTCGAACCATACTCTTTAGGTAATGGAATTATGCACCAACCACTGAAACAAATACTCGAGTACTACTAGCAAGCATAGTTCAATACCTTTCTCTTTAATAATAAACATACCGGATATTTTTGGCTCATAACATACTAAATAAAATTGCCACTTGCAATTTTCTTAAAATTCCATTACTGAAGAATTGTTGTGTATTTTTATAACTAAAATCATATAAATATGCAAAAAAATAATATCATGATGCAATTTGTAATTTATTAAATATATTAATTACTATATATATATATTCATTTTTATATATTTTAATAATTATTTAGAAATAATATTTTTTGTAAAAAACATTTTGAGATTCCTTGACACTTTTGGTAAGGTCTCATATTTATTTTTACTTAAAAAAATATAATAAAATTATCACTTGTTACTTTCGTAAAAATTTCAGTTTTAAGAAAAATTTTTAAACATTTTCATTATTTATTAAATTAAAGTTTTATCTATGATATCTTTCTTGTCGTTTATAGCTTCATGAATTTAAGATATGTACACAAGATGTCCTTTCCCATAAAAAAAATAAAATTGCCTTTTTCTTCCTCTCAACCTCTTCTATCCTTTGATCGGAATGGGTTTATGAAAATCCCTTTCTATTCTTTTTTTTTTAATTGTAAATTTATGTGATTGTTTTATGATTATTGTATTTTGTATTTTTTGTGTCTCCATCCAGGACTTTGGGAACAAGAGAGAATTGGATTTGCCCTTGGGGAATGAACACTGTCATGATAGTGAGAATGAAAGCAATCCTCAAACATCCCTTCTTGTGAAGGTTCTCCTCTTATTCTCAGAGCTTTAGATGTATCAGCTGAACGAAGAGAATGCATGAGATATGTAATAAGTTTACTGCTCCATCGCAAAAAAGATTGTGTACGGCACCTTAATTTTCTCTTATGTTTTCCAATAATAATCCTTAAATTGAACTTTATGCTCCCACTGACAACAAAATATGAGAAAGAGAGAGAGAGAGAGAGCAAAGAATCGAGTAACTTTAGGATATTGAAGCATAACAAGTGTTTGTGTCATGCCAGGTCATTGATCAAATTATATGTTATGAGCAGCTAATAAAAGGGTACAACCTAAATGCTGCATATTTGTTACTTCACTGACAAACTGTCATACTTCGATTTAAGATCCTTCTACACAGTGCTAAAAATCTCTACATGAATTTTGAAGAGTTCCACACTTCATACTTGTGTTTTAGCAGTGAGTAGCTGCTAGGGAGAAACCAAATCGGTTGATGTAGTAGAGATTTCTCAAAATCGGTTGGTGTAAATTGCCTCTGGATGTGTCCTTTTCAATCAAATATCAAGTTCTTACCATTCTACCCGGTCTTGTAATACTAGGTTAATATTATATGTTACAGTTTCGATTTCCTCTGTAACTAGTGGCCTCTAGCTAAGTTCAAATAATGCTCACAAGTATGACTGAAATGTATAGCAAGCATGAACATTGAAAATGACAAAAATCAAGACGAATCACCCACCCAACATCATTGTCAAAGAGTTTGACATTAAGATCATTAGTAGACAATGTTTGAGCCGCCAAATGTTTGAATTGAACATTTCACCAGATCTTGGGTTGATTGGTGTCAACATATTCAACTAAGTGAAGTAAGCCCCATGCCATGTTGCTGTTAGAAAATCATATTAAACCAGTGACAAATCTTCTGCATATCAACCTCTTTGTTACACTGTCTACCACGACGCATCCTCATACCTGTTTTCTGCCCTATCAAATAGCACATTTCGTATGTTCTCATACAAAAACAAACAACCGAATTATAAGAACAAGTAACTAAACAAATGAAAAAAAAAACCCTTAATTTCAGAGCACATTAACCAGCTTTAACATAATAACAATCAACTATGAAGATGCCTTGTTCAACCTCTGGTCTTGATTTAGGTCAAGTTTAAGAAATTCAAGTAAACTCCTAAAAGTCCAGAAAACAATTCCCTAAACATCAGTCTGCTCATCCAAGCACATAAAATCCATTACATCTAACAATTTATTAATAGTTGTCATATGAGTATTCATGTAAAGTTGTGTTTTTGGGCGTGACTAAAGTTTCTGAGCACTGGACCTGCCAATACCCATAGAGAAATCTGCTGCTGAGAAGAATTTCAAGTCCTTAAATAGGATTTCTGCTTTCTTTTCCAAGATTTTCTTCCCTCTTTCATTGTACATTTTATAGTTTTAAGCAAGCAGATTGCAGACAGGAAAGAACACTCTTTTGCTTCTTCAAATGTCAGTAAGGACTCATTCCAGAACCAATTCTCAACCTACAATTTAACATGTTACTTCTCATACTGCTGAAGTCTTTTACACAATTCCACCTTGGCTCTAGGACAAACACATAAGGGTGACTCAGTGTACAAGGCTCCCATATTGCATTATCTGGGGATAGTCAGATATTCACAACCTAACCCCTCCTTTGCAGAGAGACTGTTTCCACGACTTGGACACATTGTTAGCTGGTCCCTGAAACAAGAATTTAGAAAAGCTGGGATTTAACCTTCTCTTAACTCTTTAGAATAGTTTTAAGTCTTTAAGATATTGTCCCACACGGTTAGATGAACATATGATCAGGTCAGGTGTGCTCCCAGTGAGTAGTTTCATTTTTGAATTGACGAACGCACATGGTCCCTGTTAGAGATAGTATAGGTGCCAGGAGTCTACTTGCCTCATGAGTGGATGAGGTTCCATAAATATCAAAAAGTTTGAAATCTAATCTGTCATCTGAAATGTTCTCTTTGGTCTATTTAATGGGTGAGGGCGCTGCCAAAAATATTGATTCAAGGTCCATCAAAATATGGGAGAAAGGTAAAGATTTTAAAACAAAATCACCTGGTGACAGAACAGATATGAGTGCACTGAAAATGTTCAATTGGTGCTAGTGTCACAGCTCGTGAGTTTTGCCTGACCTAAGAGGAGTTTTAGCAAGGCAGCAGGGATCTGCTCAAGCAAGGAGAACAGAGGAATAGGCCAAGCTAGCCAGCAGCACAAAAGCAAATAGCTGAAGCATTGTACAACGGCTATCAAAGAGGCAGATTGGGCAGACCATTGTTCCAATGACTAGGAGAGCTTCCCAACCCATCAGAAACTGTTTGTGACTATTGATGGCATCTGAATTTGAGCTTCAGCCTCCTAACCATTGTAAGGGAGTTCCTTGTGACTATAAAAGGGGTTCCCCAAGCCTTGTACATAGCGTGTGGGTTAAATCTCTTGGACAATGGTTGTATCCTAGTGAATACAATACAAATGCTAGCTGTCTCAATCTATTCTTGTTTATTTGCTAGCTGTCTCTTGATTGTTCCGTTCCTTTGGGTGGGAAGGGAGTTTCTAGGCTGACTTAAGCTATAAAGAGTGTTAAGGGGTGCCCAAGGTCGCATGACAAGGTGCTTAAGTCGCCAACCCGGAATAAGTAGTATTAAAGTGGTGAACCAAGAAGGAGTGATGACTTCAGCTTTAGGCCACGATGGAGGCCAAGAGGTGAGAAATGCAATAGACCGAACAGCAAAGTCAGGGGGTGTGGGATACCCCAAGCAATCCGAGAAGGGCAAGTGCACAGGATCCTAAGGTGTGGGTAGGCACCATCCATGAAGACCAAGAGCGCCAGTGTAGTGGTGGGGTGTGCCACAATTAGAGCTAGGGCGTGCGGGTTCCTTCAAGAAGCCTAGGAGAGGCAAATGCACGTGACAAAAGAGTGTCATAGCGTCCACAAGGGACCAAGGCAAGTGGCAACGCGATTGCCACAACTAGAAGCCAAGGAGCACGTGGAGTCATGCTTAGGAAGTATAAAAGGAGCAAACACCAATGGCGCAGGAATGCCTCAACCAAAGGCCAAGGGTGTAGAAAGATATCGATCAAGCAACTTGAGAAAGGCAAGAACCAGCGGCAGAGGAATGCCACAATCCAAGCCCTGGAGTGCAGGGAATCACCCAAGTGGACCAGGAGGGGCGACTGCAAGAAGTAGCTGTGTGCTACAAATCAAGACTCAGAGTGTAGGCAAACACCTCCCCAAGGAGCGCAGAGGGTAAGACCCAGGGGAGAAGAACAGGTCAGTGACATAGGAGGGAAACGGGAAGGGTGCTGGAGTGTGCAGAGCTACTTCACACCATGAGAGTCAGCAAGGATAAACGGAAGTCATGCATGATAGAGAGGTTGACGCAAAGAGAAGCAAGTCTGCAGCCTGAGAGCGGAGACCAACAAAATTCCTGCACAACAGAGAGGTTGAGGCAAAGGGAAGCAAATCCACAATGTGAGAGTCACGCAGAGGAAACGTGTGGGAAAGGTGTGCGAGGTGCAAGAAAGCCTGAGGGAAAGGCGCCCAATTTAGCGGCGTGCAAGGTGAGATTGTGTGCACCGGGTGAGAACATCTGAGGTAGAAGGACACACAAAGTGACAGCACAAGGTTGAGATACCCAGGGACGCGACGTGTGCAACAGGATAGCATGTGCTGGGTGAGAGCATTTGAGACAACGTTCAGGGCTAGGGGGCCCGAGGCAAAGTGTGCGACAGGACAACACATAGGGCCAGTGTAGCGTAGGAAGGGCAGCCATCCCCTAGAAACGAAGGCCTTGCTGGATTGGGTGGGGGACAATGTCACACCCTGCGAATTCTGCCAAGTTCAAGGGGAGTTTTGGCAAGACAACAAGGGTCTGCTCAGACAGGGAGCAAGCTAGGAATAGGCCAAAAACCAACCCAGACATTGTGCAACGGCTAGTAGAGGGGTAGAATGGGCAGAGAACTGTTCCAACAGCTACGAGAGCCCCCTAGCGTGTCAGAAATTGTTTGTGATTGTTGGGGGCATTTGAATTTGAGCTTTATCCACCCAACCATTGTAAGGTGTTCCTTAAAGCTATGAAAGGGATTTCCCAAGCCTTCTATATAGTGTGCGGGTTAAATCTCTTGTAAATAGGTTGTATTCTTGTGAATATGATACAAAATCTCTTCGCCTCACTTTATTCTTGTTACTTTGTTGTGTATCACTCTTGATTGTTCTATTCCTTCAGGTGGAAAAGAGGTTTTTAGGCTGGCTTAGGCTACCAAAGAGTCTTGAGGGGTGGCCAAGGCCACACAGTGAGATGCTTAAGTTGCCAAACTGTGATACTAGCACAAACTACTTATTCTTTTCTTCTATCCCAAGCAAGCATTGAAGCCTAAATTTCCATTTCAACCTCTAAAAGTTAAAAGAAAATGGACTCAGTTTCAGCCAAAGAATTCCATATATCAAGACCCTGTTGAGGTTATCAAGGACCAAAGTTGGTGTTTTAAAAGTCATCAAGTCAAAATGAACATGGTACAAGTATAACTTCTTTTTTACTTTGCTAACAAAGTTTTCTAATTTGTAACATGTCAAGACTCGATATACTTCTTTCCTGTAATTTTGAAAAAGCAAGTTTTTATAATCAACAAAAATTTTAAGTAATTCTCATATTCATTCTATGAGCCAAGGACGATTCCAAGTGCCAACTTTAAAACTACTTATATGTATAGGTTTACACCAGACACACCATTTAAGCTTCAATAAAGCAGCAGTGAAGCTCTAGTTTCCTCCATATTAAATGCAGGCAAGATTGAAATTTCTATTTCTGCAACCATAAATTACTTCCAGCTAGAGACAATAAAGCTCTGAACAAGTTGCTTCTTATATACTTGCCTGTTATCATGTGTTACCAAAACAAGGTAGAGTGGATCTTGCGAAGTGAGCTGCAATAGCTCTTTGACAATGTAGGCACATGTAGTAATGCTGAAAAGTTGAAAGAAAGAATTATTAGTATCTTTGGCCAAAAACCAAAAAAAAGAAATATCAGTGCAAATTGGGAAGATGATGGTGCCAAATAACTAGCTTGCAACCTAAGTAGATAAGATGAGAACATGTAGAAAAATGGAGATTTGCACTCAATAAGTAGTAGTAATTTAATTCTACTTTCTCATATGATTGTTGCCCTCTTCTATCCAAAACAACAGATGATCCCTTACTCCGTCAAATCTTCATGAAAGGGATATTAAGCATAACTGCATAATATCAAACATCTGTTCTCTTTCATAAAGTTGAAACCAGTTTACATGTAAATAAAAGAAAATTAGTGTTACTGTCAATGGAAAAGCATTGATTTGATTTCCTATATTTTTTTCCCATTATATTGAACCTCAGTTTATGTTTAAAGGTTTAACATTAATTATTAAAGGTCTCTTGTTCTTTTATGAGATTTCTAGAATTAAAATTTTAATAGTAATCTTTGAAAACTATAATAATAAGTTAAAAATTGTTAAAATATATAAAATATTACAAAAAGTGAAGTGAAGTTAAAATATATAAAACAAGAACCAATATTATGGACAAAGGGAGTGTTCTTATTCTTGATATTGAAATAGTAAAGTTAACAACAAATTGTTGTCACACATTTATCATCTTGAAAAGTGAAACTCTATATGAAAAATGAGATAAGGAGTTTCCTCCAAAAGTTAAAAGTCATGTTTATTCACAAAAGGAAAACATATTGCACACGTCGAGCAAAAGAAAAATAAAAAAAAATTTGAATACTATATGCCGAAAGCTTGAAGCATCTTTTCTTTCACATTTTTAAATCTCATTGTCTCCATGTTCTGGTTTGTTAATGAAAAGATATTTAACTTTTTTTGCTAAATAAAGTGAAATATCGCTTCTATTATAGGAAACTAAAGCACTTGTTCAGTTTTAGCTTGAATAAAAGGTGGGAAAGAGAGGAAACCATACCTGCCAAAACATATCAGTAGGATTATCCAAAAGAATGCACTAATCCAATTTGATTCTTTGTAGGCAACCCAAACCTGGAATATACTTACCAAAAGAAAATTAATATTATCAAACAACTCAAATAGAGGACAGATTTTACTGGAGCACAATATTTCGCACCTTCCATTAATAAATATTATCGCACACAGAATTATTGTAAGTTTAATATCTCAAAGGATCACTATAAGCAATTCAATAAATATTATTTTTGTGACGTTTATAGTTGTATGATGCAGTGTTTCAAGTAGCTAATTTGCATGTGAAATGCAGAGGAGACAAGTTCCATGGCTACAAGTTACAAATATAAATCCTTAGTTGGATTCCTTCTATTCTGTCTCAGAATAGCAAACATGAAGCCTAAAATGCGGACAAGAATATAGTTTTTCTCACTCTTCAGATGCAAACTTTACGTAAGTTAAATTTATGATCTTAAGTTATTATGAAAATTAATGTTTTCCATAATGTATTGTAGAAATGACCGCATTCTAAAATTTAATCTAGAATCAATTAAAAAATTTAACTACAAAGATGTAAGTTCATATGTTAGCATTTCAAACATACCGAGAGAGCCACAACATTTATATAAAAGTCAATCAGTGTAGCTGTCATCCACCTGCAAACAGTTTAGCGATTTGTTATACTTTCAAGACAGATAAGTAATTAGCATAAAGGGAAAGGCAATTGAAATGCACAGATGTGCAAAGTTATCCTGCACTAAACCTCCATAGAGGTGGTGCTTCAGTGTCAGCATAAAGGAATTTCATCATCGGTTTAGAAGTGTACCATGAGTAACCTGCTACAAGTATTAATGCTTCCATGATGTCTAGGAAACCATAAACAGAATAAACACATGATACATAGCAACAAAAAGAACATAAAATGCATGCTTTCTCCAGTTTGAAACTTCAAACAAGGATTGTCAAGCCTTTTCACATATTATTCTCCTTCAGACTTCCAGCATTTTCAGCAGATTTTGGAGAGATAATAATTGGAAGAATCATGCCACAATCATTTGAGTTTTGTACTACTAATTAGCCAATAACATAAATTTAAAGCCATTAATATTTATTTATTTGTTTGGCAGATACATGGCTGACAAACAATCTGACAGCATTTATGCTAACCAAATAGGATGCCTAGTCTAGAGCCGCCATTGCATTGCCTCTCCTTCCCCCACACCCCCCACCAGAAAAAAAAAAAAGAACAAAAAAAAGGAAGAAAAGAATTACTTCTAGATTTTTAAATTCTTGTATTTGATTTCATTAACTAAAGGAGAAGGTTTCCTATTGAAACCATTGTCTAAGCAAACTTTATTTGGCTATCTTATATGAGATTTTGCATCTTTCTCTTCCATGTTCGCTACAAAGATCAGCTTTTAAGGTTAGTAATGGAAATCTATGAAGAGCATTTATATCTTTAAACTAAAAATGTCGTTACACCTTACGACAATGTGGAGCAAAGTGACAGCCAATTAAAAGGATGTAACTTAGTTTTGAATGCATTAAATACCACCAGCCTAATGTATAAAAGCTGTTTCCAAGCTATCATGACAGGAGAAGTAAAGTATGCAAAAGGTGGTATTCAGTTGCGTGCCTTTTAAGGTGTCAAAACATCCAATAAAACTATAGGTAATATGTGGAGAGAATTCAAGTGTGTAAAAACTACAGGTGAAGTCTTTGATAATAAAGTGTGGGATTAATAGTTTCACATCTCCCTTGAAATTCAGGGTAGGGAATATGGGAGTGATAGGACTTGCTACATTGCAGAAAAGGAGGAGACATGGTAGCACGCATGGTGATTACAATGGAATACCATGGACTAGGCTGGAGTTGACTCTGGCCATGTCAGAAGCATCCAATATTACCCATATCTTCACACTGAGTCTCTGCGTAAAATGCCAATAGATTTTGACCTGAAGAGTTGAACTTGCTATCAGCTCAACTTGGCCAACCATATCTCATCATGACTAAAACTTTTACATACAGGACCTTCACTCTCTGGAAAGGATGTTGTATACAGAAGTGAAAATTAGGGGAAAATGAAAAAGAAGCTACTGCAAAGGATAAAGGCATTGATTTGCCCTTACATGTCTTAAATTTTCATACCATTCAAGAAATCAATTTTAAAAGGAGTTGCTAGAGCTAGAAAGAATATAGCATCTATGTGAAGAACACATAAGGACCTGACTGTCTAGTCTGTGGAATGAATATGACTGGATTTTCTTCACAAGAATGATATTCTTTTATATATTACTTCAATCCAAACTGCAAGGAGTAAAATTTTTTGGAAGGAAAAAAAAAAAAACTTACGGAGTTAGGAGCTCTTTGCGGAAAGGTGAACCATCTGTTAAGAGAGTGTAGATCAAAGTTCCCAGCATCAAGCAACCCAAAACAATGAAGAGGGTTCTTGCAATGACAACAGGGGAATGCTTCCCCTTTGGTTGGGTATCATCCCTAGACAAAGTGAATTTTCAATTTATAAGTGATAAGTTAATATCTAGAAAGTAGATAAATAGATAGATAGATAGTTAGGCATGTAGAAGAAGAGGAATTCATTGAGAACTTATGATTTGTATGAAACAATAGGAAACAGCATATTGCTGCACCCACCGAACCACCATTTTCCTCTAATGTTCAGTCAACATGCAAGTATTTTTTTTAAAAAAAGACTCAACATGAATGTATTGATAGCACAGTGAAGAAAATAAAATTAAAATCTTCTTATTACATAACACTTCATGCTTCTATTTCTAGTTAATAGTCAGAAATATTTGCACTGTACACATGTTCCCTCCTTTCTTAATTCATGAATTCTGTGCAAGTAACTGAAAAGTGTCATTATTAAGACAGATATTCATTGCACAATAGAAGTGACATGCCATTCCTGTTCATCAAGCTTGAAGCCATCATACATATTGCCAATATGTGAAATATGATGAGATGACAAATGGTTTGCCAACATTTATGCAATATTTAGAAACATAAATAACCTCATATCAGCCCATCAGACCATGACAAAGGTGTTAATCCAAGAATAACAAAATACTTTTTAACTTAAAAAGAGATCAGTAATTTGAAAAGGTTAATGCAACAGCCAATGCAAACAGTTAGCCTTCAAAATTAACATATTATTGGACAATTGACAAATGATTTTCTAATATTATATCTGGAGTTTTGGATACTTACTTGTTTGTATCATGCAACAGAACATGATAAATAGGATCTTGCAAAGATTCTTGAGGAGACAACTTGAGAAATTGTATAACAAGGTAGCCAGATGTTATAATACTGGGGGAAAAGAAATGGTTTAAATATAAATTAGTGAAACATAAATCATGAGACTGGTAGAGAAATACAATATTTACATTGCATCAGTACTCAATAGACCAAGGGCAGAAATGAATAATGATGTAATGATCACTGAACCAAACAGTTTCAATCTTTTGCAGCAAAAACCATTAATAAAGTAGGGGGAAAAGGGTAAAAATAAGTAAGGGCAAGAGACAACTTAGAGTCTTTAAATATCAGTCACAGACAGCAATAGAAAGGCATTGTAAACTTTCACTTCTATCCCAAAATGTTACCAGAGAAAGAGAAAGAAAGGGTAGTGAACCCAACTTCAACATGCACCTAAGCATTTGACTCATTGGTTGGTGCATAATCTCCTGCCTAGAGAGCAGGATTCGAATCCCCCTCCCCCAATTGGAAAAAAAAACCCAACTTCGACATGTCAATTAGCAGATCAAACAACAATAGATGATAAAATGCTTCATACGGTTCAAAGAAACTTAATTTAACATAAAACGCCAAAAGGTAGAACCACATGAGAATACATGGATAAACATATGAAGGTTGCATGTAATTACGTAAACTAATAACACGTGCAGCAATTAAACAGCATCAAGTGGTAGTTTCTACTCCCATATATCCATTCAATGACCTTTTCTTTTAAGATCCTAATAACTACGAGTGAAAAGAATCTGACTAAATCAATAATTAATAAAAAAATTCACACATAACTCCAATGGAGGAAAAATGGCCTTTTGGACAAAAAGTATCTAGATAGGAGCAAACCTTAGTTATATATAGAAGAGCAAGAAATAAAATTATACTCAGCATCTCTTTAACCTTACATAACATTACCAAAAAGTCTTGATATACATATTATCATCTCAGAAGAATACTTTGCTATTGACAAGATGAATTTAAATTGAGACAAAATTCCTCATTTAGAAATAATGAAATATCTATCGTCCTCGTATGAAATCAAGATTACTGAAAATCATAATATTGAAAGTTTAATATTGTAGAAATTTATGATTCTACAATCCCAGGGTTCCATAACAATGCAAATCAATCTTAAAATCACATTTGGGCAGGATTTTTGTTTGATTGAAGTCCAGACCATATAATTAAGACCAAAAAAACAATTAACTTCATGCTTTTCATTTCTCCTTTCTTGGGTATAACAAATACTCTTCAATAATTTTTCTTTCAACTTTATACATCATTTCTCTTCATTTCCTTTCTAGCTTAAACTGCAAAACATGGTGTTACAGTGCATTCAGAATCAACATCAGCTCACACTTGAACAACTAAAACAAGCTTATGTATTCATCGATTTTGAGAAACAACATATGAAGCATACTGCAGTTTAGGATGACATTCAAGAGACATACCTGCCAAAACATATAAGCAGAATTACCCAAAGTGTTGCACTAATCCAACTTGATTCTTTGTAGGAAATCCAAACCTGATGCATTATGAAACTCCATAAAGTGAAACAAATTTTTATCTCTCCAATAGAAACTTTAAAGCATTTCCTCCCTCTCCCTTTTTTTTTGGAAATAGAAGGTAAATAACTATGGTCAAATTTTAGTAGCTTACTTCTAATATATATTAAACAATAAACACGAAAATGCCAAAGGACAGAAGTTTTACATACGTATGAAATTATCCTTAAAACATCTGACTTGCAAAATCCTCAGACGAAGTAGTGGTGTGCATATATCAATGGATGATAATATGAAAAAATTATAAACAACTAGTTTCCCATCAATTACTCCCTCACAATTATCAAAGTTTCACCAAATTCAAACAATGGTTCACCACAATATCTCCCGTATCTTACAATTGATTTGCTTTGCAGTTAAATAAAATAAAAAAGAGTTTCCAAGGCTTATGCCAAACTTCAGCTTCAATGCTTAACAAGAAATTTCAACTCAAGAAGTGTTTTACGTAACTGACAACTTGAAGTAAACAGTCAACATACCGCAAAAGGCACAATATTGATGTAGAAATCGACCAAAGTTGCAACCATCCACCTAAAAGATCATCAATTTGTAAAAACCCCATCCTCAAATATACCAAATGCAAAAGAGACAAAGAGACAAAGAAAGAAAGTGGGTGAGGACAGGGGAAGAGAGAGAGTACGGAGTAAGAAGTTCCATGCGGAAAGGGAGGCCGTTAATGGAGATGGTGTAAATGAGAGTAGCTACCATCAAACAGCATAACACTAAGAAGAGAGCTCTTAAGCCATTCACTAACAGAGAACCCGCCATTGCCATTTGCTTTTTCATCAAATTGTAGAATAATGAGTTTTTTTTTTTTTTTCAAATTTTTGGTGAGAAGCACTTAAGCATGAGGCAAAAGAAAGAAGAAGAAAAAATATGGCGGGTATGAGAACACGTCATGAACAACTCGGGGCCGCCAAGAAACGACCTGCCTTATTTTTAATTTTAATTTTCATTTCTTTTTCTTGATATATACTTTCTATCTCTTTAAACAGCATACTAATAGATATAATATTTTTAAAAAATAATATATTATTTAAAAATTAAATAAATTCTTTTTTAATGTTTAATCAATTTATATATTTTTATTTTAAATTAAATAAATTTTTATTTTTAATAATTAATTAAATATTATTAATTAAAATATCACTTTATGTATTGTTGATGTGACGTTTTTTATTATTCACATCAATATCACGTTAATATAACACTAATAAATAATATTTTAAATAATAATAATTAATAATAAATAATTTATTTAATTTAAAATAAAAAATAAAAAAATTTATTAAATAAAAAAAGAAAAAGAAAATTTTATTTAAAAGTTTTTTTGCATAATTGAGAGATTTTTCTAAAACATTATACCTAATAAAAACTACTATATCTTCATGTCTATTTTTAAAACATAAAACTACATATTGATTATTTATTTTTTCCATTTAATTAACAAGCCTGCATACCATTAGTATTTAATCTATTTTACTAGTAATTTGCATGGTTAATTAGCACAATTAGATGGGTCATAATTTAGATTTAGACAAACCTATGATTTTATGAGTTAATGCAGATAAGGCTTAAGTTGTGTCATAATATGCGTTTTGCTGGTATTGTCTCATTTTTTTTTTTGTTCTTGTTTACCATCTATTAGATGTTTCAAAATTTTGCCTTTTTTTCGTAAATACTTATTATTTTTACTTTTTCTCATTTTAAATTTACTTTTCATAATTGTTTTTTTAGTTTTTGTCATTAAATATCATAAAATATTACATATATATTAATATAAAATATATTAAAATTATTTATTTATTCAAAATTTTGTAAACATGAATGGACCATTGCTACTAAGGGATAAGCTTTAATAGAGTTCATGTTTCGTTTGTTCACTCCTACTGTCAAGTCAATGTCTATAAGGTTTTTCCATTGTTGATAATAAATAACAAACAATAGCAGAAGACATTTTTGCATGGCTTTGGGAGTGCCACGAGACACCCCAAGGCATGAAAAAAAAAAAAAAACCCTTCTTTTGTTTTCTTTTTCCATCTATGTGTTGTTCCGTTACTTTTTTTGAAAGAATATTTCAATGAAAAAATTAAAAATTTTGTCGGAAATGATTTTATAGAAAAAATAATTGTCCAAAACACCTTTC